CTTTGTTGTTTCAGTGGAGGATCGACGAGAAGCCGGTGAAGATCGATAAATGGGATGGAGCAGCGGTGAAGAACTCACTGGATGATGCTGCAAAGAAGGTTTGAGCCTGCTGTCATGGCAACCATTTTTTGTTAACGGTGTCCATTTCTCAATTTGTTTACTTGTGCGTTCTCGTGTACTCAAGAGACATCATCAACCTCAGCCCTAGTACTGGTCCAATTCACAAGAAGACTGAGAACAGACAAAGTCCCCGGATGTTGTTGTCGCCCCTCCCTCTTTAGCGAGTATCTATCAGAGCAGACTTGTCAGTTTTCTCGAGATTGACAGCTGTCCCAGCATGCACTGCGGCAGCAGCTACCAATGAGTAGAGAGTATTACGTTAAAAATTGTCTTTTCTCTTGCCGTTATTTAATAAAAGTAGATTTTAAGATCATTTGAACATAATATTTTTATGATTCACTATATGGCCTATTTACAGATTTAATGAGTAATTAAAAAAAAAAACATTTCGAAAGTTGAAATGATCGCGGCACCTAGCGGAGCTCCGAGGGTAACCACAGCCAGGGCTAACATTAGCCCGTCTGCTGCAGCCCTCTCTCTGCATAGCCGCATGTGAAGTACCGCTGGCTCTTATGGAGAATTTTTTTGTTTTATTTGACAAAATGTTCATTTGATTTGTGTTTATCTAACTGTGTTCATTATTAATCCCTCACTAAATAAAAAAAGTAAAAATGTATTATCTAGAGACTATTAATAATAGGAGGTGAAATGCAGCTCTAAACGAGCCGAGTTTGTGGTGACGTCATCGGTACATTTCTGCTTCAATTGTCCCATATTTATGCTGCTTGCTGCCATTTTCCCAGAGTCCATATTTTTCCTGTTCTTCTCAAATACATACTTGGCGAAGACACGAGTCTGTACTATCATTCTTGTGAATTGAGAAAAGGCCAGTTTTTTAATCTTCTGTAGAAACCCCTCTTGTAGTTTTTTGTGCTTCAGGTATAAGTGTTCTGCTCCGCCCCCTGCAGGTGCTGCTGGAGAAGTACTGTTACTTGGAGAACTTCCAGCTGGTGGACGGCCGGCTGCTAATCTGTACGGTTTCCTGTCTGTTTGCCATGCTGGCGCTGGTCTGGGACTACCTGTACCCGTTCCCCGAGTCCAGGCCGGTCCTGGCCTGCTGCGTCATCTCATATCCTTTACCCAGATTTGACCTTCAGCTTAGATGACAGAATTAATTCCATTCAATTCAGTTATTTATATAGCACTAATTAATTAATTAACAGATCAACATTTTTTCCAATTATTGGGATCCCTGAGGTTCATAAAGGCGGAAAATATATCATGAAATATATAAATAAAATTGTCTAATGAAATAAGCAGATGTATCAAGAGTTAATTGAAAAAACATTCCAAATGGTTTCATGTCATTTTAAAACCCAAAGTATTTAGAAATGATTATAATTACTTCCTTCTGTACTTCTTTATACGTATAGGCTGAAATATTTATAGGTATTTTGGGGATCACAGCCTGTGGTACTGATGATTTTTTTGGTCACAGGCGAAACTCTGCATTAGATAGTTTGTTTGGGATGAAGCTGTGCTCCCTAACTCGTCTTCATCACGTACTTCATCATGATGGGCATCCTGACGCTGTACACATCCTACAAGGAGAAGAACATCTTCCTGGTGGCTTTGCAGAAAGATCCAGCCGGGATGGATCCGGATCACATCTGGCAGCTGTCGTCGTCCCTCAAACGGTTGGAGCGCTGCAGCTGATTCACTGCATCCTGCTATTAAACAAACACAGACTCTGCCAATAACGCAACATTCTAATGTTTTAGTCTTAGAATAGTAGATTCGTTTTTATTTTTCCTCCTTGATCTAAAATTCTTGGTTTATTTTATCTTTTTTAATATTTTTTTTTAATCTCCATTTAGAAAACATGTTATTTCGCTTGCTATTATACTTCCAACCATTTCCCCCTCATTTCGTCTTCAGTTTATCGCTAGCCTACAATACGAGGTCATAGAAACTAATTTCCAGGCTCATGGTGAAACATGAGACGGTGAAGTCACTCGAAGCGGGCTGAAGGGTTTCTGTTCTTCCTCCGTTTGTTGACTCTCCCTCTTTGTCGACTCGTTTCCAGGTTTGACGATCAGTACACCCTCAGAGTTTCCTTCACGGACGGGAAGACGAAGAAGTCGCGGGACTCGGAGTTCACCAAGTCTGTGGCGACGTTCTTCGACGACAGCGGGACTCTGGTGATGGACCTGTTTGAGAAGGACGTCTCCAGGCTGCATGACACGCTGGCCACAGAGAAGAAATCCAAATAAGGCGGCGAACCGCCCGTCAGGGATGGTCCTTTGGTTTCATTTTGGTCTCTAACATCAGATTCTACCTGATCTTTAGCTTTTGAGTCAGAACACCAAGGCTTCAGCTTTGTTCCGGTTCATTTTCATCACCCCTCCTTTACATCTTCTTAGTTTGGTTTAAAACATCCGAGAATCTGGCTGGTTTCCTCCTTGAGGAGCTCCAGGAACCTCATTGATGATGCTCCTGCTGCAGGTTTAGGTAGAATCTGATGAATCGGGTCAAACTGAAACCAACCAGTCAGCTGGAAGGAAGCAGGAAGATTGACGTTTCCCATTAAACCAAACTCCTTCAGCGGGTAGAGCAGGAGTTAATCCGCTGTGAAACAAGTTAAATTCGACCTTCTGGACGTCATGCTCCTGCTCACAGTCTGAACTTCCTGCTTCGGTTGTAGAGAGGTATTATTGGAGCAGCTTCAGGCAAAGGGTTCCCATCTACAGGTCATCTAGTTTACTTTGAGAATAAATACAATTCCTCTCTCCCCCCTAATGAGTTTCATTTCAATTTCAAACATCTGTTTCTATAAACTGTAAATGTGCTTAATTTTCTGCTCAGAAGGCCAAATCCCAATGAAGCCTTTGAGTTGTTTCTGGTTTGTGTTTATAGGGAAAGATTACGATTGATCGGATCCCTTTTGATCGTTTTCCAATGTCAATGTTTTCTAGAAGGAAGTGGACTGAATGTCGACCAAACTGTTATTTTATTTTAAATGTTTTATGTTTCATTGTTTTTCTGTTGGTTTTCACCAACACAGCTTACATCTTTGTAATGAAAATAAACTTATTGAAGGCTTCCTGAGTTGGTTAGCTGTTTGGTGCCTGGAAACCTCTGGGGGGCGCTCTAACCTCAGTCTCAAGAAGTTTCTCCTTTGGTGTGTTGATCTACAAAGTGAAGTACATAATGTTCCACAATAAACTCCAAGGAAAGCACATCGATTATCCAGCTCGGATTTAGTCCGAGTATAAATGCAGTCAGAAAAAACATGGAAGAAGATGTTCTGCTCAGATGAGACCAAAACTTTAATTTTTTAAATTAAGTCTTGTAACTGGATGCTGCAGCAGGGACAGAGAGGCTGTTTATAGAGTTAATGAGAGCTGCAATGTACCTGTTTAAGAACCTGTTTAAGGCTGCAGAAGACCTGAGACATCCAGCCAGAGATACTGTGGTTTGGTTCATAAATATACCAGCGGCCATCTTGGCTCTGGACAATATTTAGTGATGGGCCAGGGTGTTTTAATGAGGGCATGATACAAAAAAGGGCAATAGTTCATTTAAAATATATTAACCGAGCAGCAGAAGCAGAAAGCCGTTAGTGCACAGAATGAAGGTAAATGTCTGCTATTCCAACTGAATTATTGGTATTTTACCTTGGAGGCAACAAAGCAACTGAAATAATTAGTTTGCATAAATCTCTACAAAAGGATAAAAGAAAGGTACAAGCAAAGTGTTTTGGAATAAGTCAATTTACATTCATAATTTAGAGTTTATTTGTGTTTATAACTTATCTTAAATGTAAATTAAAAGTTTAAATCAAATCAGAAATAGTGAAACTGATAAATTAATCTGTTAGAAATAGTTTTTTATTGGATCATGAAGCTATCATCTCAATATTTGAGTCATTATTAAAACGGTTTCTGAGGGTCATTAAAAGTCGTTCAATTATTATTTAAATTAAGGCCTTAATTTGCATTAAAATTCATTAAATGTGATTACCATGGCATTTAAAATGCTTTAAAAAATGTTTATAAAAACAGTTTAGTAATTGTCCAACTTCAGGTTGATCGTAAAGCCATATGTTCAGAAAAGAAGCTTGAGGCGGAGAAAAAGCTAGAGTACGTTAGCCTGGTAATAAACCAGACTAAACATGAGATTAAATGTGTAATTTCATTTCAGGTAAAAATGATTTTGGCCGCTGGCGGGTCTGGCTAGTTTACTAGGCAACCTCAGCCAATTTCAACAAAATTGCCCAGAAAACGAGGAATTCTGGACATGGCTGCAGCCTGTCGACAGTAAAGAAGACGGAGGATTTTGCTGTTTTATTTATATACAGTATATATATAGATATATATATATATATATCTATATATATATCGATATATATATAGATATATATATAGATATAGATATTTATTTACCTCACTAATTGCCCTTTTGAAATGGTTTGAACAAATACTAATTGTTGCTGTAAATTAGCTGAGAGCTAATTGAATTAGAACAAATTGTTCATTCTCCGACATTGAAATCCAGATTGGATTCTAACAAAGCATCATTTTATTGGCAATATATATTTTTTTATTTGTGCTCTTATCCTTTATGTGTAATAAGTTCGTTATTTATTGTTCAATCAAATTTTGCTTAGTAGTTTCAATTGATCGGTTCTTGTTGTTACAGTGTTTGACAAAAATATGTTTACATACTTACATAAATTATTTGAGCAGTTTTTAACAAGAGAAAATAGGGCTGACCAAATTTTATTTGATTAAACATTAAATAACATTAATAAATATTTTAGCACAAGACAGTGAAACGTTTTTTTTTATATGCTTGTATTTATTGTAACTCACTTTGAAAACGGTCTTGTAACAGTTTTTCTACCAGCAGAACCATGAACACAGGATGCCACATTTAAAAAAAATTATTATTTATCCTTGTGTTCTTTACTTAAAGAATGCTCTCTGAGGGTTTTCTAAGTTGAACCAGATGCGGATCCGTGTCCTGATCTGCTGCAGGTTCATGCCGTAGATGATGGGGTTGACGATGGGCGGTACAACGAGGAACTCTGCAGCCAGCACGTTCTGCAGAGCCGGCATGGATTTGATCCCATAACGAGAGTATAGTGTGTCAAACAACACTGAAGCAGAGAAGACGAGCAGTGAGACGAGGTGAGGCATGCAGGTCTGAACAAACTTCTTGCGGTCTGTCTGAGACCGGGTGGCGCTTCGGATAAGGTGAATGTAAGAGACTATGATGACTAAGAATTGCAGAGAGTGCAGAAACATGAGCACGATGCCATACAGGTTGTTGGCTGTGGTGTCAGAGCAGGACAGTTTCACCACCTCCCAGCTAGTACAGAAGATTCTGGCAATGGTGTGGCTGCAGAGTGGAAGCCTGGCAATCAAGACAATGCCAACAGCTGTTTCCAGCAGTGACAGACACCAGATAAGCAGCAACAGCAGGGCCACCTTCTGGACAGTCATGAGAGCCCAGTAACGCAGCGGCTGGCAGATGGCCAGGTAGCGGTCGTAAGCCATGACGGTCAGACTGCTGAACTGGCAGAAGATGTAAGTATATGTGAAAAATATTTGTGCCAAGCAACCAGCATATGAGATGATATGAGCATCATCCAGAAGGTCGAGTAGCAGCTGCAAGTAGAAGCTGGAGGCTCCACATACCCCAGATACACACAGGTTGCACATAAAGACATACATCGGCTGATGCAGGGCTTTATCCAGACACACGATGAGGATGAGGGTCAGATTCACCAGGATGGTGAAGAGGTATGACGTCAGGGCGAGGGCGAAGTAGATCTGACGGTTCGTCAGTGAGTCGTTCAGACCCTGGAGCACAAACACAGCGTTTGTGTTCTCATTCATGTCCAATATATTCTGAAAATATTAGAACGACAGAAGCAGGCCCTACCTATTCATAAGGGCTCCAAACCATTGCAGAAAAAGAACAATGACATGATGACTGCTGAAATGTATGCAGAAATAAGTCCAAGTTCTCCCTAAAAAACTAAACTTTACCAGATAAACATCAAACTACTCAGACCACAAGGACCCGCCAACAAAAGAGCAAGATTGTCCAAATCATTCATGATGCAAATATTTAACTCAGCATTAACTAAGAAAACACATTTCACCCTTATTAGAAGCTGCTTCCACACAGATATTTCAGCTTGTGCAAAGATCTTGAGTCAACCTTTTTTTTTTACATTTTCCGAACCAACAGAGAAAATCACCTATTTACTCAAAGAAAAACTGTTAACATTAGACCCATAATCTAAGGAACCAATAGGAAAACATTTCAAAACACAGATAGACCCTTTAAATCTTTCCTCATGAGTCCATGGAGGTTTTCTCTAGAGTGGAAAAAATATTTATGGATAAAAATATGAATGCAAAGTTGTAAGGGCCTCAAAGAAAAGCTTAAATGTAAATAAGACAGATCATCAGCTTCAGTTACATAGATTAGTTAAGACTGAACGAACTGATGGAAAATCAACAACAGCCTGAAAGCAGCAGCACTCAACAAGCTGAAGATGAACTGCAGCTCTTATTCACCTGAAGATGGAAGGAAGAGACATCTGAGGAAGAGTACGCCCACCGCATTTACATCACACTTTACTCCTTTCAACACTTTCAAAGTTTTAAAGTAGCACTGATTAGACAGTTTAGAGAGTTGAAAGTTTAAAAAGGTGAAGAAATGTGAAAGTTAATCTTTTCTTTTGGCTTGCTGATAAAGACAAGCAGATTGGATGGCTCAAGACATTAAAGTACTTTAACCCTTTAAGTTGTTGAAAAAACACACTTTGTGTGTTTTTTAACAAAGTGTGTTAAAAGCACACTTTGTTTTTAGTATCAAATAGGTTCTTAGGTAAAATTGTTAATCAGAAACAAAGTCAAACAATAAACAAGAAGTTAGATGTTGGTACATTTGAAATGAGGTAAAATGGTCATAAGGTTTAGAACAATATTACCTCCAATAGGAAGACTGTCGCAGCTCCAGCTGTGCTATGAAGTCAGAATATATGTAGTCAGAGTTCTACCAAAAGTGGACCTTTGTAATAAATACTCATGCGAACAGTGTTGTTTAAAACACATGCACATAAACTACTCTTCACACACAGTCAAAATTTGCAATACTAAAACCGGGTCAGCCTTTCTGGTCCAGCACTGGACTGGTTTAAATCCTACTTTTTTGTGTCAGTAGGTAACTTTATATGAAAATTCCCCCAAATCACATTTGGCATTCCCCAAGAGCCCATCTTAGGACCCCATCCTATTCAACATCTACGTGCCCTCCCTAACTCAGATTTTGATTCAGAGGCACATAGAGAGTTACAAAGTCGGCCTTCTATCACCTAAAGAACATCTCCAAGATCAAAGGAATAATATCCCACCATGACAATAAAAAAAAATGTGTTTATTTTTTTTTTTACTTAGGATTGATTACTTTTTTTTCAGACTTTTTTTGTCATTACACTGTCACAAGCACAGAGCAACAAAATGAACTCTGCATTTAACAAATTCTCTTGGATGTGGCAGTGGGCTGCAATTGTGCGGCATCCGGGGAGCTGTGTTGGGTTAAAGCTTTTAGCTCAGGGAAGCTTTGCCTTTTAGCAAGAGAGGCTCTCTCTGTGTATTATTGGAAAGTATTGTCTGATTTTTATTTGTTAATTTTTATAGAATTTTTCTTAATTATTCTTTATTTTTATATTTGTTAGATTTAAGTTATACCTTTGTGCATTTTGGGTTTTTCTCAGAATAACAAAAAGGCTACTAGACAACTTTATTTACCCCTTGGGATTACTCCATTCAGGGACATTCTGAAGGAGTAATTCAACTTTGAGAAATTCAACTTTGTCCACATGTGTAGGGCCTCAACCGTTCCTTTTGCCTAAGGGCCCCAGGTCATCTAAAACGTGGCCCTGGCTTTAATACAGATTTACCCAGGAACATCAAATAACCAGCAAAATACCCTGCAATTGAATTCAATTCTATTCACTTTATTTCTATAGCGCCAAATTCACAACACATGTCATCTCAAGGCACTTTACAGTTCACCAGATCATCCAGTCAAATTGATTCAAAGTTTTCTATCTAAGGAAAACCAGTTGATTGCATCGACTCATTGACTCGAATGCAATCCCTCACACTAAGCATGCTTGTAGCGACAGTGGAGAGGAAAAACTCCCTTTTAACAGGAAGAAACCTCCTGCACAACCAGGCTCAGTGTGAGCGGCCATCTGCTGAGGCCGACTGGGGTTCAAGGAGACAGAAGCAGAGATACAAAAAGCAGCTGTAAAAGGCGGCACTGTCCAGGAAACACACAGCCAGGCAGACGAGCTCCGAGCCAGCTCCCATGTCAGAGGATGAAGATAGCACATCCAGCCTGTCACAGTCAGAGAAACAGGACCACACTGGAAAACAGGCCGATCTCCAGCATCTACACTCACCGGCCACTTTATTAGGTACACATGTCCAACTGCTCGTTAACACTTAAAGCTACAGTGTGTAACTTTTAGCGACATCTAGCGGTCAGACTGCAGACTGCAGCAACATGAACATCCCCCCCGCCGCTTCTCCCCCCCCAACAGTACGGCGAGCATTACAGGACAAAATGTCTTCCAACACGTCCGCATCACCTACCTTCTCAAGTGATTAGGTTTGTTTACATAGATAATTTTACAGATAGTATTTCATTAGTCTGTGTAGGGTATAGATTTCATGTAGACTTAAGATAATAAATATACCCGTTATTTTTTCTACATCGTTGAGACGTTTTGGCGATCTCGCAATCGCTAGTTTGCTGGCTCTGCACTGCCGTAGCGCAAAGATGTCTGCCTCCATGGCTGCGAGACCCGCTCCTATGTAATTATAAATAACGAATTCTAAGGCAATGCAAATATTAAGGTTAAGAGGCTGAGCTCGTAGATGATGATAAATAACATAGTTATGTATAATATATTACATTTCTGACTATATCCCTGTAATTATTACACACTGTAGCTTTAATTTCTAAGCAGCCAATCACATGGCGGCAACTCAGTGCATTTAGGCATGTAGACATGGTCAAGACAATCTCCTGCAGTTCAAACCGAGCATCAGTATGGGGAAGAAAGGTGATTTGAGTGACTTTGAACGTGGCATGATTGTTGGTGCCAGAAGGGCTGGTCTGAGTATTTCAGAAACTGCTGATCTACTGGGATTTTCACACACAACCATCTCTAGGGTTTACAGAGAATGGTCCGAAAAAGAAAAAACATCCAGTGAGCGGCAGTTCTGTGGGCGGAAATGCCTTGTTGATGCCAGAGGTCAGAGGAGAATGGCCAGACTGGTTCGAGCTGATAGAAGGGCAACAGTGACTCAAATAACCACCCGTTACAACCAAGGTGGGCAGAAGAGCATCTCTGAACGCACAGTACGTCGAACTTTGAGGCAGATGGGCTACAGCAGCAGAAGACCACACCGGGTGCCACTCCTTTCAGCCAAGAACAGGAAACTGAGGCTACAATTTGAACAAGCTCATCGATAGCATGGCCTCAGATAATGGACTTGTATCTGTGCTCGTTCTGTTGGATCTTAGTGCTGCATTTGATACAGTTGACCATAATATTCTTTTAGAAAGACTTGAATATTTTGTTGGAATTAAAGGAACAGCACTAGACTGGTTTAAATCTTATCTATCTGATCGAATTCAGTTTGTTCATGTTAATGATAGATCTTCAACACGCTCAAAGGTTACCTGTGGAGTACCACAGGGATCAGTGCTAGGACCAATTCTCTTTACTTTATACATGCTCCCAATTGGTAGAATTATTAGACAGCATGGGATTAATTTCCACTGTTATGCTGATGATACCCAGCTATATCTGTCTATAAATCCAGATGAAGCTAACCCATTACATAGATTACAGGCATGTCTTGAAGACATAAAAACCTGGATGACTCTTAATTTTCTGCTTCTGAATGCAGACAAAACAGAAGTTATAGTCTTTGGACCAGAGTCTCTGAAAAAGAAACTGATTAGCCAGTCACTTCATTTGGATGGGATTAAACTGATTTCAGATAATAAAGTAAAAAATCTTGGTGTTATTTTTGATCAGGACCTGTCATTTAAATCCCATATCAAAGAGGTTTCTAGAATTTCCTTCTTTCATCTGAGGAACATTGCAAAAATTAGAAATATCCTGTCCAGGGGTGATGCTGAGAAACTAGTCCATGCATTTGTTACTTCAAGGCTGGACTATTGTAATTCTTTACTATCAGGAAGTCCACAAACTGTAGTTAAAAGCCTTCAGCTGATCCAAAATGCTGCAGCCAGAGTTCTAATGAAAATGAAAAAGAGAGATCATATCTCTCCTATCCTGGCTTCTCTTCATTGGCTTCCTGTTAAATCAAGAATAGAATTTAAAATCCTCCTTCTCACATATAAAGCCTTAAATGGCCAAGCTCCATCTTATATCAGAGATCTGATTGTTCCTTATGTTCCTAACAGAGCACTTCGCTCTCAATCTGCAGGTTTACTAGTGGTTCCTAGAATTTCTAAAAGTAGAATGGGAGGCAGATCTTTTAGTTATCAGGCTCCTCTCCTGTGGAACCAACTACCAGTTTTAGTCCGTGAGGCAGACACCCTGTCTACTTTTAAGGCTAGGCTTAAAACTTTCATTTTTGATAAAGCTTATAGTTAGGGTGGCTCAGTTTATCCTGAGCTATCTCTATAGTTATGCTGCTATAGGCTTAGACTTTTGGAGGACATAGGGACCCCCATTTCATCATTCTGCTTCATTCTCTCTCTGTTCTCCTATTCTGCAGAATCTGTTAGTTCAATCTCTAACCTTCTGCTCTCTCTGCTTTTCCTCAGAGTAGCTTTGCCTCGTCTGTTCCTGTTTGGCTGTGACGTCATCCTGGAAAAAACATCAGCTGTGCTGCTTCTATCAACACCCTTGTTAATAGATGTTGGAGATCGGCCTGTTTTCCAGTGTGGTCCTGTTTCTCTGACCGTGACTGAGTGGATGTGCTCTCTTCGTCCTCTGGCATGGGAGCTGCCTTGGAGCTCGTCTGCCTGGCTGTGTGTTTCCTGGACGGGGCCGCCTTTTACAGCTGCTTTTTGTATCTCTGCTTCTGTCTCCTTGAACCCCAGTCGGCCTCGGCAGATGGCCGCTTACACTGAGCCTGGTTCTGCTGGAGGTTTCTTCCTGTTAAAAGGGAGTTTTTCCTCTCCACTGTCGCTACAAGCATGCTTAGTGTGGGGGATTGTATTTGAGTCAATGAGTCAATGCAATCAACTGGTTTTCCTTAGATAGAAAACTTTGTATCAATTTGACTGTATGATCTGGTTGAACTGTAAAGTGCCTTGAGATGACATGTGTTGTGAATTTGGCGCTATATAAATAAACTGAATTGAATTGAATTGAATTGAATTGAATCGAAATTGGACAATAGAAGATTGGAAAAACGTTGCCTGGTCTGATGAGTCTCGCTTTCTGCTGCGACATTCGGATGGTAGGGTCAGAATTTGGGGTCTACAACATGAAAGCATGGATCCATCCTGCCTTGTATCAACGGTTCAGGCTGGTGGTGGTGGTGTCATGGTGTGGGGAATATTTTCTTGGCACTCTTTGGGCCCCTTGGTACCAATTGAGCATTGTTGCAACACCACAGCCTACCTGAGTATTGTTGCTGACCATGTCCATCCCTTTATGAACACAATGTACCCAACTTCTGATGGCTACTTTCAGCAGGATAATGCGCCATGTCATAAAGCTGGAATCATCTCAGGCTGGTTTCTTGAACATGACAATGAGTTCACTGTACTCAAATGGCCTCCACAGTCACCAGATCTCAATCCAATAGAGCATCTTTGGGATGTGGTGGAACGGGAGATCCGCATCATGCAGCCGACAAATCTGCGGCAACTGTGTGATGCCATCATGTCAATATGGACCAAACTCCCTGAGGAATGCTTCCAGCACCTTGTTGAATCTATGCCACCAAGAATTGAGGCAGTTCTGAAGGCAAAAGGGGGTCCAACCCGTTACTAGCATTGGGTACCTAATAAAGTGGCCGGTGAGTGTATATATATATGTATATAGGGTGAGGAAGAGTTTTTATTTTATATATATAAATAAATAGCACTATAATCATAATATAGGTTTTTATTCAGTTAAGTTGTATTTTTTGAGCCTGAATGAATGTAAAAATTATCCACAGGCTTTTAGTTTAAATCCAAAAACAGTAGTTTTTAGATTTAAAGTTCTGCCCTGGGGACATGGATAAATGAATGGGAGGAGTTAATTCAAGGGGGCGGAGACTTGGTGTGTCCTCAGAGTGAGAGCATCCCAGAGCAGCAGTCTGTCTGCCATGGCCTGTCTGATGGCCGCTTGGTCTGTGCATAATCCCAGTGTGACCAACTCCATTATTATGGTAAGTTTGAACCACACACACATAGTGCAGTAGGTGTGTTAGAATGTTTGAAATAGCCAATGCTGTATCCTGTAAACAGATTAATTTAGCCTATGACTTGAATTAAGCTGTTAAGTTTCTGTCTCGCATAATGGTGGATTATATTTCCTGAGGTCCTCAGAGACATTGAGACAAATCTGGAGACAGAATCAGACTTTCTGCTTATATAGAAAAAGGAAAAAATTAATGAAAAACAGAATATAATAAAACAGTCAGAATAAGTTGAAACAGAAAGGTTCCTGTAAGAGGCTGTTTGATGTGTCTCCTGCACAGGTAAACCCACCTGAGGACATCCTTGTGGACAGCCTGAACATTTCATTTTACAATATACATAAAAAAAGAGATTGGAAATAGAGTAAAAACTGAACTGAAGTACGGACACTTGTATTTAGTTTGGTTTAGTTTTGATTTAGTTTTGATTCTAATCCACTTCATGTGACTTCAGATAATCTCACAATTATCTGATCTCTCTTTGTTGTTGTGTTTTTAAATGTTTCTGAGCCACATCTTCAGAGGAAATCTTAGTTTGCCATATTGTATCGACTGCTAGAGGTAGTATTGAGTATTTTAAATTATTTTAAGTTCCCTAAAAGAAACAGAGCCAACTCTTACTGTTCCAATTAACACCAGCTTGAATATCATTTTTAACCTATGTGTATGCATTGTATAAGTGTAGAGCTCCTGAGAGTGCGCCCCCCTAGTGCTTACACCCAGTAGCAGTCAATGGCAGCAAAGATTGGCAAAAAAAGATACATATTTTATTTTCAAACAATTACTTTTAATAACATTCCATGAATCTTACAGGCATGAAAATAGGCCTATAAAAGAGAGACCTGTCTGGTTTTGGAACATCAGGTGTACCCAATGTTCAGGTTGCTCAGGTGTTGGAGTGTTGCTGTCAGTTGTGCTGATTCACAGCAGCAATCAGTTCACTTAGAGGGAACTCTTCTGTCCGACAGTGACCTCTGGGACGGATTAATGTCTCAAAGCCTCCTACATAAACCGGACCTCTGCTGAGAATCTGCCTGCTAATCTGAGTACGCCTACTGCTTTTCTTCAGCTAAAGCATTAACATGTCCTCATAAAAAGTCTGAAGAAACTCTCTTTCATACTTTTAACCAACCAGTTGAATCATAGAGTAAAGAAGCTGATAGAAAATGAAAAGAGTTAAAGATTTTATAAATTAAATTACTAAAATGAAAAATTGGTTTGATGTTAAGTAGAAAACAAGCATATTAAAGATGAAACAAACATCATCTTACTTTCAGAACACAAACGGACCCCCAGACTTGATGCTGGATTCGCGAACGGTCTGTGTCTGTTTGGAGGAAGTAATCAACAAGACTCCGATGAGAACCCAACAGACGCCCCTGCTACAAAAACCACAGAAGAAGGTGGATGCACCCTTGAAGAAGGTGGACAACAGCCTGACGGAGGCCCAGAGGTTCTCCTCATTACCAAGGAGACCAGCAGTCAACATAGAGTTCAAAGATGTCTCATACTCAATCAGAGAGGGACCCTGGTGGAGGATAAAAGGTAAGTAGGAGACACAACCTTTAGCTTCAGAGGAAACACAAAACTTAACAAAAGATTTAATGACTTATATAGTTTTATTTAAGTCAACTTTGAACTGAGAAACTGATTAAACTGGTTCAAACAACAGAGTTTTAGAGGTGGTTGGAGAGGAGGTGTTCCCTGGCGAGATTACTCCTTCTGAGGGTTATTAGTACTATGGTGGAACCTTCTGACATGGAGGGCCATCAAAAAGACCACCAGCCTGTATTTCAGAGTGTAAACAGCTGCGGCTGGACCAAACCGTCCATGTAACAGGCATTCAAAGAGCTGTGGGAAGGTAGAGCAAGTATATGGGGAGTGGAGGGACATAAGGATCTGACAGGTTCTGAATATTTGGAAATAGTTTTGCTTACAGCTTCAGAGAGTTGGATGGCAAAGGGAATCAGATCAGATCCAGCTTTACTGTTGATGACCCTTGGTCAGAGTGATCAGAGAGAGGAAGGTCTTTGTGTCAGTTCACCTATAAAGATTTTATCCATCAGTTCATCCATCCGTTTATGGTAACTACCAAATATTACCCTCATGGTCTGTTTTACCAGTATTTTAATCCCTCCAGAGAGTTATAGGTCTACTTCAAGGCCTTGTTTAGGGGGAATATATCTAAAACATCTCCATTAGAAGGTGTTCAGAAGATATCCTCGTAAACCCCAAACGTTTTGATCTGTTCCACTCAGGGCCATAGTTCATCCCCAATGTGAAGTTGGAAATCTATTTTTCCCGGCTAAGGAAAGTGACTTCAGATCTACAGTAGCTCTTGTCCTGAGGAAGGTCTTTCTGCGTTTTCATGACTGCTGAAGAGGTATGGTTGTCAGTAGTTGTCCCTGGCAGGGGATTCAGTTGTTCTGCATGATATATCAAACTGATCAATTACTCTTGAAATGATACTAGGATGAAGGGATCAGCAATACCCCTCCTGGGCTGGTGAGATCAAGGCCACATCCCTAGAGCCAGGCCTGTGGGTGACGTCACTGTAGTCCAATGGTTCAGTCTTCACCCTTGTGTTATGTGCTATGAAGGAACTGTGTAATTAGAGTGTTCAAATGTCAGAGGCAGAGGACTTGATAAAGTTCATGGCCTCACTAAAATTTGCCTTTAAGGGTCTTAGAAGTCATTTTGGTCTAAACATACACAACTGGAATAAACCAAGAACAGCTTCATTAATATCTGGTCTAAATGTACCTTTTTGGTAACTTAAAAGAATATTTTTCTAATATACCGACTATATGGTGACCGACCTTGTTGAGGCCGAGAGCTATTTCATGGTTACTGAGTCATAGGAAGGGCTATCAATACTGACCTATGAACTGGAGGGGTCAGCGTTTTCCTAACTGAATTCAAATCAAGTCTCTTTATTTACAGGTCCTTCTCAAAATATTAGCATATTGTGATAGAGCTCATTATTTTCCATAATGTAATGATAAACTTGAACGTTCATATATCTTAGATTCATTGCACACTAACTGAAATATTTCAGGTCTTTTATTGTCTTAATATGGATGTTTTGGCATACAACTCATGAAAACCTAAAATTCCTATCTTACAAAATTAGCATATCATGAAAAAGGTCTATGCACCTAATCATCTGAATCGACAAATTAACTCTAAACACCAGCAAAATATTCGTGAGGTCTTTAAAACTCCCACCCTGGTTCATCACTCAAAACTCCAATCATGAGTAAGACTGCCGACCTGACTGCTATCCAGGAGGCCATCATTGACACCCTCAAGCAAGAGGATATGACACAGAAAGATATTTCTGAACCAATAGGCTGTTCCCAGAGTGCTGTATCAAGGCACCTGCAAAGTCTGTGGGAAGGAAAAATTTTGGCAGAAAACGCTGCACAACGAGAAGAGGTGACCAGACCCTGGGGCAGATTGTGGAGAAGGCCCGATTCCAGACCTTGGGGAACTTGCGGAAGCAGTGGAGTCTGGAGTAGAAACATCCAGAGCCACCGTGCACAGGTGTGTGCAGGAAATTGGCTACAGGTGCCGCATTCCCCAGGTCAAGCCACTTTAGTCCAGAAACAACAACAGAGGCGCCTGACCTGTGCTACAGAGAAGCAGCACTGGACTGTTGCTCAGTTTTGCATGTCATTTGAAAATCAAGGTGCCGGAGTCTGGAGGAAGACTGGGAAGAAGGAAATGCCAAAATGCCAGAAGTCCAGTGTCAAGTACCCACAGTCAGTGATGGTCTGGGGTGCCATGTCAGCTGCTGGTGTTGGTCCACTGTGTTTTATCAAGGGCAGGGTCAATGCAGCTATCAGGAGATTTTGGAGGACTTCATGCTTCCATCTGCTGAAAAGCTTTATGGAAATGAAGATTTCATTTTTCAGCACAACATGGCACCTGCTCACAGTACCAAAACCACTGGTACATGGTTTACTGACCATGGTATCACTGTGCTCAAATGGCCTGCCAACTCTCCTGATCTGAACCCCATAGAAAATCTGTGGGATACTGTGAAGAGAAAGTTGAGAGACAAAAGACCCAACCCTCTGGATGAGCTAAAGGCCACTATGGAAGCATACTGGGCCTCCATAACACCTCAGCAGTGCCACTGGCTGATTGCCTCCATGCCACGCCGCTTTGAAGCAGTCATTTCTGCAAAAGGATTCCCGACCAAGTTTTGAGTGCCTAACTGTACATAATTATTTGAAGGTTGACTTATTTGTATAAAGAACACTTTTCTTTTATTGGTCAGATGAAATATGCAAATTTGTGAGATAGGAATTTTGGGTTTCATGAGCTGTATGCCAAAATCATCTGTATTAAGAACATAAAAGACCTGAAATATTTCAGTTAGTGTGCAATGAATCTAAAATATAGGAATGTTCAAGTTTTATCATTACATTATGGAAAATAATGAACTTTATCACAATATGCTAATATTTTGAGAAGGACCTGTATATAACATGTCATCTCAAGATACTTTACAGAGACATTTCAACCAGATTTGGTTCAAAGTTCTCTATCTAAGGAAAACCAGCTGATTGCATCGACTCATTGACTCAACAGCAATCCCTCACACAAGCATGCTTGTAGTGACAGTGGAGAGGAAAAAACTCCCTTTAAACAAGAAGAAACCTCCAGCAGAACCAGGCTCAATCTGAGCGGCCATCTGGCATTCAAGGAGACAGACGCAGACACAGAAAAAGAAGCAGAGATACAAAAGGCACTGTCAACCGGCTCCCTTATGCTGTCGTCATCAACACACACACTCATACCTAATGACAATTTAGAGAGACCAGTTAACCAAACAGTCATGGTTAAGACTGTGGGAGAAAGCCAGAGTACCCAGAGAGAACCCATGCAGAGAACATTCAGAAAAACCCTGGGCTGGGAACTGAACCCATAATTTTCTTGCTGCAGGGCAACATTGTAACAAACTGTGCCACAGTGCAGGCCCAAAATTTAACAGTCAACTGGAAACTTGTCCATCATAGATTGTTCTTCACCTCTCCCAGTAGCTGTTGGACATGTTTGTCTACAGCAGGGGTGCTCAAGTCCATCCTGTAACTTTGCATCTCTTTTCTAACACACCTGAGGCATGGTAACAACACAATAATTTAATTCAGGTGTGTTAAAAATGGGGTGCATAAAAAAAGTTGCAGGTTAGTAGCTCTTGAGGACTGGACTTGAGCACCCCTGGTCTACAGCACCATGCTGTGTTTCATGCCTGGACCACATTAAGTTAAGATTAGTTACATCTTCTTCTATACGAACTTCCATGTGAACATGTAGGTATGTCTGAAACCAAAATGCCAAAATGTATCCAAACGAAGTTCTGGGAAAAGCAGTTTTAGACTTGTATGGCTTCAATGAGAAGCAGTGAAGTTTTAGATCTGTGGACAAGAAGAACTCTGCCAGAAAAGGACAGAAGGCCTGCACAGAAACAACTTCTATAGGTATTTTTGCAGCTGTGTTTCATCAGGAATCCTCTAAATGAACAAACCACTCAGAATCCTTTCCTGAGTGAAATTAAGACAATGAGAAAGTTATACTCAAGCACAGATAGCATTAGGTCCCTATCAGTAAACATTTATCTTTTGATAAAACCATTTTTTTTAAAGAATACAATTTTCTGATATCACTCAGATTAATTAATTTATTAAGCCTCCTCTTGAACCCAGCTGTTTTATTTTGTGGCACTAGTAACCTTTATTTGACACGACTGGGACTTAACTACCTCAAGAACTGAGGCTTCCATGCATGGGCTTGGAAAAACCTCATCATCACAGCATAAATGACCAAAAGAGCTAGAGCCAATATTGTGGAGAAAATTGATCATTTTATGCATGCTCCAGCCTCTATATTGATTGCTTAGAAAATTTGCTTCCATTTTAAATTAAAATATCATTCTCTTGACTCAGAATTTAGGAGTGAGAACTCTTTTTTTTAAAGAAAATGTTTTTGATACTGGAATAAATGACAGAGGCACATTTTTCCTGTCAGATCTCAAGAAAGTTCTGCAGGTGAATCCAGACCTGGTGTTTTTCTCTCGCAATCATTCTCACATTCACAGTGGTTCTGGTTCTGCTGAGGGGTTCTTCCCGTGAAACAGAGGTTGTTATTCTTTAATGTCACCTGTAAGTTTAAGGAAGAGGACAGCGGGAGAGTCAATGCCGCTGTTTCTATAGACAAATAAATAAAAAATGAGCATCTCTACCTAATAACCACAACCAAATTGTGATCAATGTGATTGAATTTCAACAATTTTCTGTTTAGATTTGATTGTTTTTTTATTTTGCACCCAGTTAGTCACAGTAAAAGAAACAGGACTGTAGTGGAAAAACAGGCCAAGCACCAACTTCTATAAACAAAGGTGTTGATGGCAGCAGCACAGCTGATCTGTGTCACAGCCAAACAGGAACAGTCAAGGAGAAGCTACTATGAGAAAAAGCATAGAGAGCAAAAATACTGCATGATGGAAGAATAGAGATAGAATGAAGCAGAATGATGAA